GCAAATATTAACCTATTCCCCAGCGCCATCTGCCCATGGCTCCTGAGGCCTCCTCTCTCTGCTCAACCCCGACTCCAGCAAGTCCAGCCTTCAGCAAACCCAGTCTCAGCTGTAAATGTAATTTCAAACATGCGTCGAGTTCGCCGCTGCTGCAGCAGAGAGACTACGGCCCCTGTAGCGCTTTGAGCCCAGAGGGCAACTGAGCACCACGCAGCTGCTCACTCGCCCCTTCTTCCCCCCCCGCCCCCAGCGCTGAGAAGGAGAAAATAAAGCAAAAGGCTCAGGAATAGAGATAAGAACAGGGAGGGATGAGTCACCCATTATAGTCACAGGCAAAGGACAGACTCGTTAGGGGAATAAATAAAGAGCATAAATTTAATTCAGACACTAACAACAACACTTAGACAGTAGAACCATGACGTGTTAATACATCTTGAAAACACCTTCCCCCCACCCCTCCCTTCTTCCCAGGCTCAGCTTTGCTCCTGAGTTCTGTACCTCCTCACTTCCAATGGCAGGGGACAGGAAATGGGTGGTGCAGCCAGTCCTGCTGCTTCTTCCACCTCAGGCAGGGGGTACCTTCTGGCATTCTTCCCTTGCTCCACTGTGGTCCCCCTCTCACAGGAGACAGTCCTCCACAAACTCTCCAACATGAGTCCATCCCATGGGCCACAGCGTTTCCCAAGCTGCTCCAGCATGGGACACCCCCACAAGTTGCAATCATCCCAGTGCTGAACTACCACAGCAGGGGCTTTTTCCCACAGGGTCCCGGACTTCTTTTGGCACAGTCACCTGCTTTAGCATGGAGCCCCCCACAGGCCGCTGGTTGGCATCTGCTGCACCGGTGACCTCCATGGGTGGCAGGGGGGCAGACCTGCCCTCTCACCACACGCTGCAGGGGGCTCCACCAGGGCTACTCTCCCCCTTTCCTCCCCCTTTCTTCCACTGACCTAGTTGTTCGCACAGATGTCCTTGAAACTACTCCTCACAACTCCAAATCCTCCTCTCAGGCTTCCCTTCTTAAATATGTTATTGCAGAGGTGCAGCTCATCAGCCCAGCCTTGGTGCAAAGGCAGGTCCGACTTGGAGCCAGGGGAGCGTCGAGAAGCTCCTCACAGGGGTGCACCACTGTAGCTCCCTCCCCCACTACCAAAACCCCCTGGAAGTCACTCAAACCTAGGACACCCCTGTGCTGGGGCAGTGCTGCCTGTGGGTGTGGGTCTCATGGGGGACACCTCTGCAGGGGTCTCCCCTCACCCCCACTGCTGCCTGGCTCACGGCACTACTTCATTCTGGATCAGGTCGATGCTGCTGACGCTGCCGACTCTTTGTAGGTCTTAACAGTGCCTAGGTAGGGCTGCACCAATAACCACAGCTGATGCTGGCCAGTGTTTCCTCCCTCCATTTGATCTGGATTAAGTCAAAGTACCTCAGCAAGCCTGGGACTGGCTTTTCTCCTCCTCACTTGGATAGCAAGTCACTGGCTTCCAGTTCTTCTGTGTTCATGCAGCTCTGTGATCCTAAACCCATGTCTGGACCTTGCCTAGTCTCCACTAGACACCCCGAAGCTGTGGCATCTCCTCTCCATGCATGTGGCTGGCACCCTCAGCCGGGACACTGACATCTTACCTTCAGTGATACCTAATCTTTAGCCTACTGCCACGTCTAATTCTTGGAAAGCGCAGCTGCACTGACAAGCCATGGCTGGGGACATTCCCTGCTTTGCTTCCTTCCTTGCTCCCCACATTAACTCATGCCTACACATCTCAAGTCAGCAGCTCCTTTGCACCATCCCTGATACTCCACATGTGTGCGAAGAGCAAACTCAGAGTCACTGACTCTCACAAAGAGGACTGCAAGGGATCCTAGAGATCACCTCACCCGTCCTCTGCCTGCAGGCAGGAACAGTCTTACCTCTCCGTCATCTTGCTGTCCTCTTCAAATCATCCCTTAAGCCTTTCTCTGGCACCATGCCTTAAAATATTGGACAAAGGTAAGCGCCAGAGTGCAGATATCACTGACTGCCACTCCACACAAGGTGGGCTGCTTGTGCTTACCTAGTCGCTTGGCCAAATCTGCCTGGTGCCCCTGCCTTTAATTGCATTGCTGACTCTGGAGGCTGGATTTATCTTTTTGTTCTGTTTGTATGCAGCCTTGAACTTGGGAGGCCTGAATCATGAAAGTACCATGTCAGAACTATAAAAATACCAACAGCAAACCATTTAATAATAGAAAGAGTTCCTTTAAGCCCTCTTAGATTTGGCATCTCTCAGCCTCCCACCCACATAAGCAAGGATAATGTGAAGTTTTACTTCTAAGCTTAGCTGTATCGCTGTTATTTGTCAAGCCTTTGGTGACTGACGTATGTTTTGCCAGGAGCCCAGGAGAGCAAATTGAGGGCCTTTGCGCTGTGGCATTCTTTGAGTGATCTGTCCCTACCCCTCCTTATCAGGGATGGAAACTGGCTGAGATGTGCTTGAAATTATGCTGCAACTCCAAAGCTTGAAATTTAGGGCTCACAGCCTGCCTGTGTTTCTAGGAAGATGAGAGAGAGGAGGCCTTTTCACTGCTGACCTCTGCATCTAGCAGTAAAATTTTTTCTTTTTTTTTTTTTTTTTCAGTCTAGACAAACAATGAATGGCTCATAGATGTGTGCATGCCCTTTTTTCATCAGCTAAGCCTTGTACTGTTTCCCAGGTTTGTCACACAGCACAGCAAACAGGAGATTTCCTCCTGCCCAGTTTTTTGAGGGGGAACCCCTTTTCCCAGCTGGGCATCTGCAATAATCAGGGGCCACATGCTGGCTTCTGCCAGCCTCAGTGACCCTTGTGAGATCTGTACAAGTTGGTCCTCCAAAGACTGCAGGAGAGCAGTGCGATTCCCTTCAGCAACAGCATTTTCAAAGAGGTCTTTTTGTCTGGCACAGCTATCAGTTGCCAAAGAAGGCACCCAAAGCAGTTTGAGAAGATCCATGTTTTATTAAATACTGTCACTGTTTCTGTGGTGTTTGTATCTGAGCCTGTGCATGTCTCAAATGAACACTGCAGGCCACTGAAAATGTCACAGATTAATCTGGCTCACTCCAGGCTTCTGGAAAAATGAACGAGAATGATCAATAGATAGGCTGTGGCCTCCCCATCAATGCACATGGCCCCTGTAGCATCCTTGCTGGAAACAGCTCCCCTCTCCAAAGGACTCAGTCAGCAGCAGAGCTGGGAAATGTGAAGGTGGACAACTGCCATGGGGCCCTGGGCAAGCAATGCTGAGAAACTGGGTCATGCAGATGGGGAAAAGTGGCCAAAAGGGCTGGCTGATATTTGCTGATCAGGGTAATCTTATTTATTCCTGATAGCACAGCCCATACCAGTCCTGCTACACCATTGCCTCGGGACCGACAGAATGTCTCTGTCAGTCTGAGAGCAAGTGTGTTTCAGGAGCAGCTCTCGTGTCTTAATTGTTTGTCCTACTTTAGAGATTTTTGGATGGCTAGAAGCAGCCCATTGGAAATAGGGTCCATGCTGGGGCGGTGTCTGGGCTGTCTTGATTTACACTAAGGACTATCTTCAAACCCTGGCTGGAAAGAGCAGCTCGAAGCTTCCAGATATGCAGTCCTTTCCTATAGCTGGATCCCCTGTGCTGCTGTCAGCAGATGAAGCAGCCTAGTCTACAGTTACCTATAAGTTTTATTTGTTTTAAAACCCCATCACTTTCTTAACAAAGCATCATTTCATTCAGCACAGATGTGCAGTCACCTCTGGGCTGGCGGATGGACAGGGCTTTACGAGAAGGCAGCAAACCAGTGGGGAAGGTTAAGGCAGAAAATACAGAATAAAGCCCCTGACCCCACGTGGCAGCTCCAGGGGATCCTCCGTGTGAATAACGGGCTGAGCCCATCCCAGCCGAAGATGAAGTATCAGGTCACTGCTTGCTGCTGGGTCAGCAGAGAGGAGGAGGGAGGGTGGGTCCCACACACCGCCTCCCCAGCACTGCTCCTGGTGCCTCCTTCCCCAGGGCCCATGGGGCACAGCTCCTTTAAAAACAGTGGGATTTTACATGACTACAGCACACAGAACAACACCTCATTTTAAAGGAGACTCCTTTGGTTCTGTTCAGATGCTTATGCTGAATGCAACTTTTAAATGTCTTATAATACACATGACAAGTAGTCTTGTATCACTGTTTTCTACTTAACAAGTTAATAACGTGCCAACCCAAATCCTTCAGTTACTAATGCCACCGGTGGGACTCATTAACCAACGTGAACACATATTTAAGGGAATAGTAATATTCACAACGTACATTTTTATATTCATGTTGTCATTCTTGAAACCACAGATCACTTCATGTATTCTGCTGAAGCATTTGTTTGCAGAGGATTTCTCTCTCCCTTTTCCTCTAAACACATATACTATCACTGGGGTATCATTCTGGTGAATGATATTAATGACAGCTTGTCATCATGGAAAGCTATTCCTAGCTGTCAATTAAAGGGTGTTTTGAAAGAAAGCAGCTCATTCAACCCCGGTGGGAGTAAGTGTGTCTCATTGTTTGACAGTGACCCCCTTGATGAATTTGGGAGCATCAGCAACAGCAGCTCGGTGGGGCCAGGAGGTTTGCAGTTGCAGCACAGGGCTCTTGGGTGATAAGGACAGGAGATTTTAAAGGTGGTGGTGTCCTTAGCAAAGGAAAGGCAAAAGAGGATTTCAGATCATAAAAGCAATCCACATGTGGGAGCATAGGTCAGGAAAGGAGTCCCAGGGATATTGAGCTGTTCCCCTCCATCTTGTAATATAATTTCCCATCCAACATCCCAGTAGATTTACCAAACTCCATCTTCAATATGTTTGTTTACTTGCTCATGCTAACCTGAGTAGAAGTCTTCTTCAGGTCTTCTCTGCCTAATTCCCAGATTAAATATATTCACAGCTAATTTACACTCTGGCA